AATCCTCTTAAACGCTCCATTTTTTGTCTTTACATTGAGTTATAATTTAAAATAAAGGCTGTAGTCTTTTATCTTCACATGTAGGAATTCAAATCTGATTGGCTTTCGCAAAGGAGCACTGGTGAATAGTCAGTTATTCATTGGGCTGCTAATCATAAGTTCAGCAGTTCAAAGGGAACCACCAGATGCTGGAGGAAGGGAAGGCTTTTTTTTTTTTTTAACATTTTATTAGGGGCTCATACAACTGTTATCCCAATCCATACACACATCAATTGTGTAAAGCGCATTTGTACATCGTTTCTCAAAACATTTTCTCTCCACTTAAACCCCCGACATCAGGTCCTCATTTTTCCCCTCCCTCCCCACTCCCCACTCCCGCATGAGCCCTTGATAGTTTATAAATGGGTATTTTGTCATATCTTGCCCTGTCCGACGTCTCCCTTCATCCACTTTTTGGTTGTCTGTCCCCCAGGGAGGAGGTCACACACAGTTCCATGTAATTGGTTCCCTCTTCCCTACCCATTCTCCCTTTACCCTCCCTGTTTTGCCACTCACACCACTGGTCCTATAGGGCTCATCCGTCCTGGATTCCCTGTATTTTCAGTTCCTATCTGTACCAGTGTACCTCCTCTGGTCTAGCCAGTCTTGCAAGATCGAATTCGAGTCATGGTAGTGGGAGCGGGGAGGAAACCTTTAGGAACTAGAGGAAGGTTGAATTTCTCATCATTGTTACATCACACCGTGACTGGCTCATCTCCTCCCCTAGACCCCTCTGCAAGGGGATCTCCAGTGGCCTACTAATGGGCTTTGGATCTCCACTCCGTACTCCCCCCATCATTCACTATGGTAAGATTTTTTGTTCTGATGATGCCTTACACCTGATCCCTTCAACACCTCGTGGTTGGATAGGCTGGAAGGGAAGGCTTTTATCTCTCATAAAATGGTCCCATTTTGCTGTTTTCTTTTTTTTCCTGTCTGTTTCATTGGCCATTTCCTTTCTTCATGCATGATGTTCTTAATGTCACCCCACATCAATCTGCTTTTCAGTCATTTGTGTTCAACTTGTCAAATCTATTCTTGCGATGGTCTCTAAATTCAGGTAGAAGAGATTTAAACTTGCATTTTGGCCCGTGAATTTGTTTAAATTTTCTTCAGCTTCAACTTGCACTTGCCTGTAAGAAATTAATGTTTTGTTCCAGAGTCAGTTCTTGTTCATATTTTGTTTAATGGCATTGAGTTTCTTTATTGTTTCTTTCCAGGGATTGCAAATTTTATTATTGTGAATTTAATCTGACAAAGTAGAGACATATTCTATGTTGTTGTATTTGCAATGAATAAGTATTTTGCCTTGCAAAATTCTATTATGAAATCTCCAGGGGCACAAATCACTAGCACCTCACTTGCTAACTATCATTTTTCTTAAAAACAAACAAACAACAACAACTTTGCATTGCAATATCTAGTAGTTCTTAATGTAACTTGAACAATTTCAGACTGAAAAGTTGATAGAAATCTTCAATTTCTTCATCACCACTACGAATAAATTTAACTCTTGATAGAGGCTTTATATATAACATAGACACACATATATTTAAAGGAAGTAAAATTAAAGAATACAATAGCGAAAAGAGAGAAGAAAGGAAAAAGAAAGAAGGGGGAGACAAAAGAAGAAAGAAATTGCCAAACTACTGAGAATTCTGGCCCAGCCAAGCTGATACAAAATCTAACTATCACAAGTACCAAAGTATGTACAACTCAAGGTATTTAATCTTTGGCATCATCTTTTATTATGTGTGAAGTAAAATAAAAATCATTTATTCAATTTAGACATCAATAAGTATGATTTCAATTCAACTAACTTTTATTTTTAAAATGGAAATGGACCCACTTATTGGCTACTAACTAAAGGCTTTAAAGGGAAAAGGTGGTTAAGAAATAAGCTTTGATCTAGAAGAGTTTGTACCATGGTGAGAAGAGAAAGAGGCAAACAGGAGAGATGAAAGGAAGGCAAGGAGGCATAACAAAATAATCTAAACTAGAAGAAGAGGAAAAGGGGAAGGGAACGGATGGGAAGTGAAAGGAAGGATAGGTATAGGAGTAGAATTCATCGTATATTTCAGTGTTGGAAGAAAACAGAGGGATCAATTTGGTTATATCCACAGCCAATACAAACGTCTCCAAAGCAATATCCCAAACAGGGAGTTACTTAGTCTAAACCCTTTATTGCTGGTAAGTCAGAATTTCATAAGACAATTGGTTATTTTCTGTATGATCCTATTGACATATGCTTCCTTAACTTGAGAAAAACTCCGCCTCCCCAAAGCTTTCTCTGATTAAACCTAGCTGTTCCCTGTGAAAAAACACACCAAAATGTATATAGCTAGGCTTCAGCCCTAGTAGGTACTCATCTTTCCTCAATATCTGTAATGAAAGTCTAGCCCACCCCTTTCTTTATAAAGCATGTAATGACTTGAGATGATATTTCATACGTGACTAAGTCCTAAATCCAACAAAGGCAAGAAATGTATAGCTATGTTGATCTCTTTATCACACGGCTGGGGAATACTTCCAGTCACATATTAGACATTTAAAACAATTCTATTAGGTGAATATCTAAAATTATAGTAGATAAATGAATGTATCAATGTCAAACTCTTCTCCCTTGTTGTCATACTGCCCCAAGTGCATTACAGAATACAAATTTCCTCTTTTTTCATGCTAAATTCTAAAAGGTAGCTAATGCAGACAAGATAGTATTAACATTTAGATAGTTATAGAATTGCTTTGAATCACAATCAACTTGATGTTACACAATCAGGGATTTATTATATTATCAACAAAAACTCTTAATTATCTTCAGTTAATGAATATCTTTCCCACTACTTATTTTTACCAGAAACATAGATTTTCATATTATACAGATAAGACAATATCATTAAATATGACAATGTCACTGGCCTCTAGGGTTCTTTGTTTATCATAATGCAGTAATCTATTGCATTAACTGCCCTTACAACTTCACATCATGTGAAAATCTGATTCAAACATCTCTAATAGCCTCATTAAAATCATTTACAAATTCAGATACCTCGTACATATAGCTCCAATAGAGTTCCATATTTAGTAGAGTGAAAAGGGGCTTTGTATTGATGCTTGGAACTCTAACTCTTGCTGCCATACGTGATATTGATGCATAATGACCCTGTGGCACGTGGTTAGAACTGCCCTGGGAGTTACTGAGACTATTCTTTTTACCGAATGAGAAAGTCCCTTCTTTCTCCAGCAACCAGCTGGTGCTTTTGAATTGCTTCTCTTGCAGTTAGCAGCCCAATGCTTAACCACTCTTCTGCCAGGGCTGGGTTGCTACCTGAAAAGGTCAGCAGTTGAAGCCACCAGCTTCTCCTTGGGAGAAAGATGAGGCTTTCTACTCTCATAAAGATTTACAATCCCAGCAGTTCTACTGTTCCTATGGGGTCGCTTTGAGTCAGCATGGACTCAATGGCAATGGGATGCCTGGAACGATGTCACAAAATATGAACTCACCATCAGGATTTCATTTCTGTTTTCTGAAAGGGTGGGATCTGCACCAAAAGAAATTTTGGCTATAGATAAACTTACAAGGTGAACAAAACCTGAGTTGACACGATCTTTATCTACATGGGATAGCACTGATGGAAAAGTGAAATAGCTCTGGCATCATAACAATGGTTATCCTAGTACAAAATCAAGGAATTCATTCAGTGTAGCCACACTCTACAAGACACTCTGTTAATCACAGCCTAAATGAAGATGCCCAAAGAGGCAACATGTGGATTTCAAGATAGTTATCACTGACCTTTACTGTCTACATTGAGAAGATCATCTGCCTTTGTCCTCTATTTTCTTTTTTACCATAAGCTTCACCTTTAGCCCCAGCTCCTTCTGCCTCTCAATATCATGCATGAACATGCAAAACATTTCTCTGTTAGAATGCTAAGGGGCTATGCCAATTGTACTGAGGCCAAAGAAGAATTTATCTGGACAAAATAGAAACTAATTGTTGGACTGTTTCAAGAGATTATCAATTTTGATTTGACAGTCTGCAAGTCTGTCTCCTGATGCAGCTCCATAGGACTAGTGTTCCACCACACTTTCACTTGTCATTGATTTTCTGAATTGTTTCTTACTCACCAGAAGAGGGAGCCCTTATTAGAAACTGTCTTTATGGGCTTTATCTACTAAATTGGTCAGATTTTTCAGTTCCATAGAAAAATATGTAAGCCACAATCCACCAGTAAGTATTATTTCCCTTTTCCTCTTTCTTCTTTTTAAAAAAACATTGAGTACTATACCTTTCTCAGTCTCATTTCAATATTCTGAAAGTTTGGAGTCTGGAAACTCAAAAAAGTGTCAAATATGTTGGAATTTTGGTTTAATTAACATTATCTCTTCTCAAATACAACCCTTACTCAACCTCTTGTTCTTAGAGCATTTTCAAATTTAGTAGGCATTTTCCAGCTTATTAATATTCATTTTACAACTGTAGTAGAAAGCCAATCTCCTTAAAGTCTATTGTACTAAAAAGTTGAGCTATATACAATGAATTGCAATAACAAACAAGTATGACTTTACAAAGGTACATTACATATCAAGACAAAAAATTGGCTACCTTAAGCGAGATGCAAAACATACCCAGCTCTTCTGATTTATGTAAAATTTAAATTAAAAACAGATTCAGGAATGAAAGTTCATCATGTGGGGACTGCCTATTTTCCATATATTCTTTGTTCACTTGTTATTCCCTTCCTGCAAAATCTTGTCCCATCAATACATGAAATACTTCTGAGATCATATTGACTTTCAGAAATTCTTATTATCTCCAAAAATGTTTCACTCTCAAGTAAAAATACATATTTTGTAAAAGCAATATATTTATTTGGAACAGAAATAAAATCACATAGAGTTAATGACAACTTTTCTCTTGGCTCATTTTCTCTAACTCCCTTGAAGAGTTCCAATTGTCAGGATGACTCCCTTCCCCCAACTACTTTTCTCAGTGCATCCTTCACATTCTTGTTCTTCAGACTGTAGATCAAGGGATTTAGCATGGGGATCACTGTAGTGTAAAACACTGAGGATACTTTCTCCTGTTCCATATGATTGCTAGAAGGAGGCTTAAAGTACATGAACGTTATAGACCCAAAAAAGATCCCCACAGCCATGAGGTGGGAGCTGCAAGTGCCAAAGGCTTTGGATCGGCCTTCAGTGGAATGAATACGAAGGATACTGGAGAGAATGAAAGCGTAAGAAATGAGAACAGCCAGGGTAGGTGCTAAAGTATTAACACCTCCAATAATAAATAGTAAAATCTCATTAATGCGGGTACTGGAACAAGAGAGAGTCAACAGAGGAAGAATATCACAAAAATAGTGACTGATAATATGAGACCCACAAAAGGACAACATTGACATGCGAGTAGTATGGACTGTGGCCCCAAAGAACCCCAGTGAATATACTACGCCCATCATTATAGAACAGACCCTATGAGACATAATAGTATTATAATGCAGTGGGCTACAGATAGCAACATAGCGGTCATATGCCATGGCTGTAAGAAGGTAGCCTTCTGCAATTACAAAAATAAGGAAGAAATAAAGCTGAGCCATACACTCCAGGAAGGAGATAATGTTCTTCTCTGACACAAAGTTCACTAGCATCTTAGGGGTAATGACAGAGGAGTAACAGAGATCAATGAATGACAAATGACTGAGAAAATAATACATTGGAGAGTGAAGTTGAGAACTGACAGTAATTAAAATGATCATGCCCAGGTTCCCAACCACTGTGATCACATATATTCCAAAAAAGAGAAGAAAGAGTGGCAGTTGGAGCTCTGGGCATTTTGTTAACCCTTCGAGGACAAATGCAGTTATTGAGGAATGGTTTGAAGTGGCCATTGCTTGGAATATATTATCTGTAGGAAGAAAGAAGAGGAAAAGGTACAATCAAATGAGTTTCTAATTCTTAAATCAGAATGGCACACCCTGCCTTAGACAATTTCTTCCCTGCTAGTCTCTCCTATCCTAAAACGCTATGCTTTCCACAAAAACTCTGAACGTCACCTACTCTTTGTTCAATCTCTTAAAGCTGAATTATTTTCTTGAAGTCAGAATCTTTTCATTTCAAATCATAAGTCAATTACCACCTCACTTTGAAAAAAGTCCAAAATGTTCACTCCTGGTTAATTTTTTCTTTGACTAGGACATTCTCTGCTGCTATATGCGTTCAAATCTAACTCAGATGACATAAAAGTAGTCAATTTCACTTCATTAACCCGTCTCCAGGATCAACATAATCAGCGCTTTCTAAAAGTGGGTATTTAGATCCATATAAGTATATAAACAGAATCTGTAGATGAAAAAAAAAAACTCTTACAAATGGCCCTAATTAATTTAAATTCTCACTCTCCTCATTCTGTTCTCTTGCTAAAAAACTTGAATAGGCCAAACTGTCCTTTTCAATGTCGATGGAGCTGACACTAAATGAGGGACTAAAGCGTGTTCTTACGCCATGCCATTATTTTTTCCCATCTCAGGAAACACAAAGCAATTCGGGTCATGTGGTACCAGAACTACCAACCATGAAGAGTACCCTCACCTCTGTTCATCATTATAAGCCACAATCCTACTGACCTTTCTCTCTCAAAGTTGTTATATCACAAGTGGAGGATATCTCATTTACTATCTTTGCTTTCCTAAAGAATAGGCGAAAAATTGTGGGAAAAGTATTTACTACTTTTAGTTAAACATTATGTATTACTTAAGGAAATAAGTCTATAATTTTACACATACTATTTCTTTGATTTATGATACAATTTATAAACAACACACTCAGTATTTGAGTCTTGAACCTTGTTATAAATTTGCATTATATTTTTCCAAACTGTTAAAAATATGAAAGGAAGCAAAATTATATGCATAGGATGACACAAAACTTGCTTTTGATTTTCATTCAACATGTGATAATTTTTTATGGTTATAAGCAAAGTGACATGAAAATCTATTGCACTGTATATTTTTTCTCTATACCTTGCATAATCTTTCAAGGATTTCTAATCTATGTGTTAATTTAAAGACTGAATTATATAGGTATAGTTATCTGCAAGAATTTATAAAAGGAGAAAAATATTTTTGGATTCATGGAATTAGATAGAATTCTAAAGAGAAAAGGAGTCAAAGTTTCCAGGATACAATGCTAATTAGTCCCTTTAGTAATAACTGTTTGATTATACCAACTCCAGATCAATACTGTGAACTTTTCCAACAAATAATAGGAATAGGAATGAGACCCGACACTTTATAGAAGTCACCACTTCTTGAAACCCATTGGGGGAAAAGGCTAAAGGAAATAATTGCCCTCCCACCCCATTTCAAATTCATTGTGGTTGAGTCAATTTCTACTCATAACGAAGCTGTATACAGTCCGGAGACTTTAATAATTTGGGGGAGACAACATCCTCATCTTTCTCCTGCAGACAACTAGTTAGTAGTTCATAATTGAACAACTAACCCACCGTGCCACCAGGGACTGTTGAAGGAAAGAAAGGCAGAAAAATGCAAATAAGAAATGAAATGTGTGATGTTATATTATGATATAGCTAACTGAAATAAGATGAATAATAATATAGTATTATGAAGAGCTACATGCCAATAAATTTGAAAACTTAGAAAAATGGAACTTTCTAGAAAAACCCTACTTACCAAACCAAAATAGATTAAAATAGAAAATCTTAAGAAAGCAATAATAATAATACGAAATCCAGTTATTTAAAAAGTCCCCCCAAAAATGTGGTTCAGGTCCAGCACTTCATTGGTGAGTTTATGAAACATGTAGAGGAAACCCAATATCAATTCTACTTTAACTATTCCAGTATAGAAGGGATGGGAAAACTCTGCATTTATTTTATGATGTGAACATACCTTGATAACAAAATTAAACCAGAATGACTTTAAAGATGTATAGCCCAATATCCCTCATGAATATAAACAAAACTTCCAAATAAAATCTGTGTCTGTATAATCCAAAATAGATTTTAAAATAATAACATGATGACTGTGATTTATATCAGATATGCAAGGGGATTTCAACCTTGGAAAAACAATCAATGTAATCCAACACATAAATAAAATGAAGAAGAGAATCATGTGATTATAGCAATTAATGTAGAAAAGACACTGGACAAACTCCAACACCCATTCCTGAAACAACAACAAAAACAAAAACAGTTAACAAATTTGGAATAGAGGGGAAATAAAGGATATATGTTCAAAACCAATGGCTGACATTAGTCTCAAAGGAGAGAAACTGAAAGCATTCTTGCAAACTGGAACGAGATACAGATGGGTGGAAAGGGGGAACCGATTACAAAAATCTGGGTATTGCCTCCTCCCTGGGGGAGGGACAGCAGAGAAGAGGGCGGGGGGAGACGTCGGACAGTGTAACTTATGACAAAACTATAAGTTGTGAATTATGAAGGGTTCATGAGGGAGAGGGTGGGGAAAATGAGCAATTGATATTAAGGGCTGAGGTGGAGGGCAAACGCTTTGAGAATGATGAGGGCAGCGAATGTACATATGTGCTTGACACAATGGATGTATGTATGGATTGTGATGAGAATTGTACAAGCCCCCAATAAAAATTTTTTAAAAAGATGCCCTTCATCATTCCTAGTCATTATTGTGCTGCAAGTCTTAGCCAAAACTAAAAGGCAAGAAAGAGAAATTAAAGGCATCTAAATTGGGAAAGAAGTAAAATTTCCTATGTAGCTATGACCCAATAATAGAAAATCTCAGACCCAGTCAGAAAATTGTGCTAATACTTTTTTCAGTGGGGAAAGAAAAAGGCATTTTCCTTTCAGTTTTTTCTCTATTGTCTAGTGATCTACAATACTATTGCTTTTAAGACTTTATAATAACCCCAGAGGGTAAGTCGGAAAAGTATCAGGTCTAATCCTTGGAAAGAACAAGTTGGTGCCTAAAGATAATAGCTGTTTTCTTGTACTATCAAGGATATGAGGATATAACAGTGTCCACTAGATGCGTTATTGAGGTGTCCATGAAGTATCCATATTTATATGAATAAAATAGATGTGTGGAAAATTAGTGTCAAAATGTAATGCTCTAGAATGTTTCTTCTTTTTTTTTTAACAGAGACACTCAAAATTAAAATAATTGCAAGCCCAAATTTTTAAGCATAGGACTGTGGGTTGAAAATACTAGTTTATTCTTGTCTTTGAGTAGGAAGATTTATTAAAAGCCAACTAAACTAACATGTTTTACACCCTCTAATACAGTGCTATATTTACTGGTGAAATATTTTTGTTTCTTGATGTAATTTCATGCAGGAAACAATAAAAAAAACTGATTAGACAGCTGAATGTAAAACACCATTGGGAACACAGCAGTCATTTCAAAATCTGATAAAGGTGTTGCTGTGTCAAGAAAATTAACTTCATAAAGTTTAATCTTATTGCTAGAAAATAATGTTTAAAGTTTCATCAGATTTTAAGGTTCTGGAAAGGTGATAGCTTTATATTTCTTACATAAACAAGGTAAATGTTGTAATACGTCTGTGTGAATTCTGTCAGAATAAAATCTTTCTTTAAATATTTTCCTCAATGATTGTGTTATGACATTGACAGAGAGGCATTGCATTTGGGGTCAGAAGACATGGAATAAAAGCATGACTTTACTACTTAGTGCAAAGACTTTGTGATTACAGCAAATCAAGTACTCTCCCTGTTTCATTATTTTTTCATCTATAAAACAGTAGTTATACAGAGCAAAAACATCTCTATAAAGCTTTGCAAACTGTAAACCACAACACGTCTATTTGTTATTATTTTAGTATGTTTTATATTTATAATATACTTTCCAAGTGTATTTTCTGACAAGATCCCCAAAGCTTCAGAACTCATTACCCAAGTCTTAGAATAAGAAAGTTGGTTAGTGTTTACATTAATATCAGAAGAAAAGCACTGTTTTTTATGGTTCTTATAATGCAGAATATTCTGTTTCCAATGGGAAATTTAAAAAGGCATAACAAGTAGCCTTTTGGAAGCACATAATCAAGAGTTTGGTTTTTGGGTTTTTTGGGGGGGGTATGGGGGGTATTCCTATATCCCTAAAAGGGGCCTTGCTGGCCTAGTAAGTTATGAGTTGGGCTGCTAACTGCAAGGGCAATGGCTGGAACCCCACTTTACCTGCAGAAGAAATATGAGGCTATCTGTTCAAGTAAAGATGGACAGCCTCTGAAACCCGAAGTGAACGCTCCTCTTTATCTGACAAGATCACGGTGTGTGGGAGTCAGCTGAATGACAGTGGGTTTGAGTCAAGAATTGTGAAAAGCTGGTTGGAATACAAGGATATAAATACATATGATGTTATGATTTAAATTTATGTAGGTGATAATAGCCCATTAAAATAAACAAAAACAAACAAACAAACATAAAACCTGCCATCAGGTCAATTCCAACTCATAGAGACACCATGTAAGGTCTCTGAGACTGTAAATCTTTGCAGGAGCAAATAGTTTTATCTTTTACCCTTGGAGCTGCAGTTGGGTTTGAAATGCCAATCTTGCAGTTGACAACCAAATTCATAACCCATTATGTTAGCAGGGCTCCTTAAGTTGCAAATTAAGTTTGAAAATGTAGGACTGCACTTGACATTTGTGACTTTGATTGGACACTAACTAAAGCCAGCTAGCAGAAAATCAGATATATTTCAGGACAAATAGGAACTGATTGTTGGACTCTAGAGCAGTTGCTGTTATTGTTTAATTGGTGATTCTAAGAAGAAATTCTAAAACGAAAAAACAAGGGACTGGGAAACAAATGAAGTAAATTGCCATAGAAGGTACATACAAACTGAAATGTGAAATATTCAGAATTATCTCT